AACCCCCCCCCCCTTCAAAACTTATCCCCCCCCCCCCCACACACACACACACACACACTGTAACACTTTATTTTGGATATGGACTTTTTTTTCAAGTTTTATTGAAGATGAATCTGGGTTAAAGTTAATCTCGTTGTGTATTTGTGAATGTCCGATCGGCTTTACGTTTCTCTTCTCGAGTACGTGTGTGCGTTTGTATTTTGGTGTGTGCAAGCACAGTAAAAGCACTGCAATGCAGAGGGAGGGGTTGAATCAAGGTGGAAATACAAACAACTCAGCGTTATTCACAACCACTTTACAAATAGTGCACGGTTTTATTGGACATATTCCATTCAAATTACTGCACAAATAGCAAAAGCTGAATACAACAATTCTATAATTTAGTCACACATACATTTACATAAACTCTTCCACTATGCTCAGTAGTGCCGACCATGGGTACTGTTTTTGCTTTTTGGCTCCTTTCAGGGCTAGTTGTCACATATTGATAAAAGGTAATGGAGAGGAGTGTTTTATTTTTTGCTCCTTTTTTTCCTCGAATAGCACCGGCCATAATAGCAGCAAGTTGTTTTTTAACGCTTGGTCAGCTTTATCAAATTTGGCCTGGAAGATCTGGAACATGCCAGCCACTTGGCCTCCCAAATAAAAGGCCAGGCATAACCTCGGGTGCAGAGTTAATCTTTTGAAACCGGTTGAAATAAGGTCTATAAAAAAATGTGAGGACGCAGACGTGTATGTTGCTGCTTCACAACTTGTAAAAATGCCAATTGTCAAACAATCCAAATTATAAATAATAAAAATCTGTTCTTTGCCACTATAAGCTTTTTAATAGCAGCAGAGCAAGAACATCCACATGCAGCAGATGCACTGTAAGTTCTGCAAACAGCCCAGACTAAACATTGTCTGACCGTGACAGAAGTTTTCAGTCTCTCGGTCAAAATGTATTTTACTCCTTGACACCGAGTACCACTTTCCTTTTAGCCAGGGTGTTGACACATATTATTTTGGCATCATTGGGTGTTACAGAAAGAGCCTAAAAATATACAGAGAGCTGCAAATATGGAAGTTATGTTACCTTGGGATAGTTATCACAGAAAAAAAACAAAAACAAATTGGTGCCTAACTAGAAAGGTAACACATACAATGGAGCGCCTTGTAAAGTGGGTTTCCTTTTTTTTTTAAGTCAATGTCATTGTTGTGTGATGTCCAACTTTAACCCCTTTATCTACCACAGGCAAGTATCTATTGAGGAGGGAGAGCGGAAAGCCAAAGAACTAAATGTAATGTTTATTGAGACTAGTGCGAAAGCTGGCTACAATGTCAAACAGGTAAGATCGAGAGCGAACGTCGTGCTCAGTCACCTCGCCACCGATGCTGTCACCTTGGCGATGCCTCCAAAAGTGACACCCCCCTTCCCTCATCCAAGTCACTCATCAGAGGATGTAGTTGATAAGAAACCACCAATAAATATTATTGGTGGCGATGTCCAGGTCTACCTTCAGACTTGCATTCCCTCTTCATTGTGCAGATGGTGAACTTTTGGTTTTGAGAAAAGGTGGCAGCAGGAGCAGGGATGAGCACGACTCCTTCATTCATTTAAAAATATTGAACCTGTACTCCCCCCCCCCCCCCCCCCCCCTGTCTGTGTCTGTCTGTCTGCGGGGGTGTTTGTGTGCTTGGCTGTGTGCGTCCCGTACGCTGTGACTCATCACAGACAGATTACCACAGAGGAGGGAGAGCAAAGAGCAAAAGAGATGAATGTTCTGTTTATTGAAACCAGTGCAAAGACAGGCTACAATGTCAAACAGGTAGAGCGTGCGCTACCTCCGACGTTTGTGCGTGTACGTGTGTTCATGCTGTCCATTGACTGGCTTACTTCGGCTTTACACACGCATGCGTGCTTCTAAACGGAAAAAGGCGTCTTTGATGTCTGGCCCTGGGTGGACATGGAAGGGTGTGGCCATTCATTCTGACTGTCTTTTGATGATAAAAATAGGGATGACAGATTGGAACAAACCAGTCACTCAAGTGAATTACATCCATCCACGCTTGGATGTATATGTAAGTGTGCGGGCTACAAAGTGCAACGTTTAAAAGCTTGTGTTGGCAATGGGCAAAAAAAAAGAAAAAGACGATTTGAAATGTGCACACTCCTTGATCAAAAGACGTGTCGGAATTTACAATCAAGGAGTATTAGGAGAATGCTGAAATGTACAAAAGTATTACTATGAGTTTGAGTCATGGAATTACAAGAGTGAAATGGAAACATTCAGTAATTTTAAGAACTTGAGTATCATTGGAATGCAGTTTCACTTTCTGAATTTTGAATACCAGGGTTTCTTCTTGTGATATTATGACTTCATCATTTATTCTCACACTTTTTCTTCTCGCAACTAGACTTTGTTTTGAGCGTTCCCCTAATACTCCCTCTTAACATTCCGCTGCACGGGACTGCTGTGCAGAGACTATTTGCTGCATGTTGAGGATCATAATACATTACCGTTTTCTTTAAATTCATCATTCACTTCCCACTTGCAGTGCTCTGATATAGTATTTGCCCCCCCCACCCCCTCCTGGTTTCTGTGTTTTTTGAGATATTTATCGCATACAATGAAATTCTGCAAAGAAGAGTGGCCCAAAATTCCTCCACAGCCAATGTGAAAGACTCATCACCAATTATCGCAAATGCTTGATTTCAGTTATTTCTGCCAAGGGTGGCACAACCCACGATTAGGTTCAGGGGGCAATTACTTTTTAAGAGGGACAGGCGGGTTTGGATTTTTATTTTTTATTTTTTTCTGTGCGTGTCCAACTAAATTACATTTGCACTGAGAAACTGCACCTTGAATTTGCTTGAGTTGTCTCTGGCTCTGTGATATTAAAAATTAGTTTGATGAACTGAAATCTTTGTGTGTGTGATAAATATGGAAAGAACACAGAAACCAGGAAGGGGGCCGATACTTTTTCGTGGCACTGTTGCTCCCTCAGTGGAAAGCAGCATTTTCCTCTTAGAGAGTTTCAGGTGGACCAGATGCTTGATCATGCCAATACATATTCAAGCCATTTCATAGAGTTTCACAGTGTTTGCAATTCCCTCAATTTCATTGCCTGGAGAGATTAAAAAAAAAAAAATACAATGCCTTATGTTTTTCCCTACTGCAGCTCTTCCGTCGCGTGGCAGCCGCCCTCCCTGGAATGGACACCACACAGGACAAAAATAGAGAGGACAGTATCCTTTTGTGTGTGCGTGTTTGCTGTCTGTCTTGTCATAAACCCTGAAAATCCCTAAGCCCCGTGACAGCGCTCTACAGCCTTGTCATTTATTGCAGGTTCGTGGATTTGTCAAAGCACATCATATCTATCCTCGGTGTTATGATTACATTTTAATGTGATTATTTTTCCAAGGTCTTCAGGTTTTTCTTGTTTGTTTTTTTTTTTAATAAAAAAACACAAGCAATAAATTAATCTATTACAATAAAGACCAGATTTGTTATGCATAATGTTTTGGTTTTCTAGGTTAGATTTAGAGCTAAAATACCAAATGAATCTTGCATTAATGTGAAAGACAGTTTATGTATTTTGTAGTTGTTGACTTGCAGTCTTTTTCGGTGTTCATAACAACTTTACTGAATTGTACTGGCATAAACAGATTGCAGCTTTTGCAATTTGTGTATTGCATTTGACTCCATTGCGATGTTGATTTGAATTTGATTAATCGCCACAACTTTATAAGCTCCAGTAGAACAGCCATATCACACCTTTCACTTTTACAAACATAATACTGTAATGCTCTTTTCAGCTTTTGATTTCTATGAATTGTCATAGTTGTATTCATGTACGTGGGCTGCATAGTAGGCTCGTGGTTAAAACATGTCTGCCTCGCTGTTCTGATGTTTCGGTTTAAATCTCGGCGAATCGACGCCTGACCCAGACTTCAGTCTTTAAGAATCAGAATATATCACCAAAGAAATGTGACATTCCCTAATTCATGCATCCTTCAGTGATCGACATCAAGCTGGAGAAGCCGGCAGAGCCGCCTGCCAGCGAAGGCGGTTGTGCCTGCTAGTTTCCCCACGTCACTGGGAAAACGGTTCTCTGACTGGGCTTGTTTGTCTCTATCTGTACTCTTCACTACATCGGCCTCTTCCCCAACCCCAAGGAAAAGGGAGACCTTCGCTCTCGTCCGGCAGCCATTAAAGTCTTGGATCGATATTTGCACTGCTCCACACAAACATGGAAACAGTATTGGCAGCTTGAGCTTGAATGGCTTCACCGAGCTCCGGTCATGTTCGGATGCAAATGGTGGCAGAAGCGGAATGGGACTTGGTGGCAGTCGTTTGTGTAAACGTTACTTTTGGAACCAAACAGCAAACGTGTATAAAGGCACCAAATGGACTTAGCATGTTATATCTCAACTCAACTCAACTCAAATGTATTTATAGAGCACTGTACAAGTGCTGTACATGGAGCAACTAACATACAACAGTAAAGCAAAACAACAAATCTATATATATAAATAAAAAGCATTGCATTAACGGCGTCAAGTGCAATGTGGATCTGTTAACCTCACCTTGCACGGATTCGTACATCATTTTGTGTTATCCGCAAACCACCCTTGTGTAACGTGGAAATGGTTGCACTAAAAGCAAACAGGCATTATCATGGCGAGAGCTCTGTGTCGACACAGACTGAAACTCACAAACAGGCGCGACATGTCAGAACGACCTTTACCAGCAAGGTCACCCATCTCCCAGCATGTCGTGAAAAAGCATGACGCCCGCAGGGGCCGACACCACACCTTCCCTTTGACCGTCCACATGCATACTCCTGTTGTTTTCTTGCCTTCCGTTTTCTACCCTCTTTATTTGGATTTTTTTTTCAATTGTAAGAGTATCATTTAGCAATTTGTTTGATGATAGTGTGTGATGAAGATTTCTCATATATACAGTCGTTTTAAAGAAAACACTAAAAATTACGAATGGAGATCCAGCGTGCATTTTAATGTAGAACGAGGGCCTCCTTTCTAGTTTGGTTGATTAAGAAGTTTTTTTTTTCCTTTGTTTTGGTTGGGTGTTGATATTTCCATTAGTGATTTATCTGAATGGATGGACTTGTATTTATTTCTACTGGATTCATTGTTCTTTTTTATGTTTCTTCATTTCTTCAGTCTTGATATGAGTCCTCAATTGCTAATAAAATATCCATATATCTTGAGCACTGTTCGCAGATGAACACGTGCCTGTCAAGGGCGACCCGTCTACCACTGCTAAATCGTTAGTAAATCATGCAATTTTCATTGTGCAATTTTAGCTTGTGTCAACATCTACAGGAAGTTACATCCAGTAATTTGTCTGAAATTGATTTAAAAGGAACAAAAATAAAATGAACTTGTTACTGCTGCTGCAACTTACTTCCTTATTCAGTCCACTTAGCTTAGGATGCATGGGGAAAAAAATGCATTTCAAGGAAGAGAGTGTTATATATAAAGTTTTTTATTTTCATTTTTTTCATCTAGTACTTTAGGCACGACTTGGCCTTCTGAAAATAATTGGCTTACCGCATGGTCTGTAAAATATGAGTTCCACGTTTTAAATTTTTCTACAATGGACCTGTATAACTTATGCCCGAGATATAAATGCTCACACCAGCCTGCATGGTGAAGTATATTGTTGATCCATAATTGCAGTTGTATCTAATCTTCTTGTATTTTACCTATTTTTTTAAAAATGCATTTTCCCAAAATGCTTTCTTGTTTGGGTTCTCCCCTTTATTGACGGTCCCTGGACTGGCCGGCTTCCCATAGCAACCCATGTAAACATTTCCTAATCAATGGACTGCTGTACTGTTGTTTAGTTGAAACCGTGGTTGTTAGTTCTTTTTTTATTCGTTATTATGCTTTTAAATTTGCTTTTTATGTAGCGTATTGATCCTGGAATTGAATTTCCCGTTAACCTTTCAGCGGTGAAAGAGACGTCAGTTGCCCGACGTTACCATAATGCGCGTAACTCGCTTTAAAATCATTTACGTGGCATTCACGCGTATAATACTGCGTCTTTGACTGCGAAATTCTTTTGATGATTGTTTCGACCCTGACCCCAAGCACATTTTTGTGATTATAACTTTTTGGTGAAATGCAACATTGTCACAAGGAGTGAAGAGGACGTCGTCGGATTAAAAACGTTTACGTCGCACCAATTTCATTTGATTCATTTTGTAGTTTGTTTTTTTCATTCCTATTTCTGAGGAAAAACAAATCAAGACCCAGCATTCAACGTTGCAATGTGCAGCGAATACTACGACAAGCTTGAAATAAACAGAAATGCGACAGACGCAGACATAAAAAAAGCGTAAGTATACCTGGCAACAGATGTCGTAATTAACTAGTCACGGCACGACACGTTGTCATCATTGTATTCTCTCTGCAGGTATCGACGTCTGTCACTCAAGTTTCATCCAAGCAGCAACAAAGAACCAGAAAGTGCAGAGAAATTTTACCAACTGGGTGAAGCCTACGATGTTTTGAGTGACCGTAAGCATATTGCTTTTTGGTTATTATATTTTACAATACATCCTTATATGGCACTTTCACAACATTGTAATATAAACATAGTAATAATACATTATTATTATTATAGTGACAAATTTGTTGTATGATGAGTGGTTGTTTTTTTTTCCCTTTTTGACAATTTGGTAATTGTGGACATAGGTTAGCATTAAAATATGACTTTTGTCTATTATGATTTTGGTTTGGATGATCAGCATCTGTTCATAACTTGGATATGATGTTGTGGCAGCTCGAAAAAAGGCAACATATGACAAGTTTGGAGTGGAAGGCCTGAAAGGTGGAATCCCATATGAGTTTGGCAGCGGTGGCGCCTGGTCAACCAAATACGTATACCACGGCAATCCAGACAAAACCTTCCGTCAGTTTTTTGGCAGTGACAACCCCTTCGCAGGTACCACAATTTCCACAAATGTTTGATCATAAATTGCATGCACAACATCGTTGGCGCAATGGTGTCCGTTTGTCTCTTGTCAGACTTTTACACAAATGACATCCCACTGCTGTTGGGTGGCCTGCTACCAGAAGAGGTCAAGACGCAAGACCCCCCCATCGAGAGGGATCTTCATTTATCCCTGGATGACCTCTTCCACGGTTGCACTAAAAAAATCAAGATATCGCGAAGGGTCAGTTTTTTCCCCCTTACCTAATGCAATGAAAAACAAAAAAATAAAACACAAAGACATTTTATTGCATTGCACATCAAAAACTAAAGCTATGGTTATTGTAAATACACCATGTGTCTCTTTCCTTTGTTGTTTGTTCGGAAGAAACTCTACAAACCCCTTTCTTGTAATTCAACTCACAGGTTATGAATGATGATGGCTACACGTCGGGTATTAAAGATAAGATTCTGTCGATTGATGTGAAGCCTGGATGGAAAGAAGGCACAAAGGTCATTTTTTCCAAAGAGGGGGATCAGGTAAGAAATCGCTTGAATTCAGTAGTCACAAATGATGCCGTACGTGACTTTTATGTTGTGCGACGAGAGCAAACTGGTTATCCTTTATTAGACAACGATTTTGTGATCTACAGGGCCCAAACAAGATCCCTGCAGATATTGTGTTCATAGTGCGACAGAAAACTCACCCTCAGTTCAAAAGACAAAACAATGACTTGATCTACAAGGCCCAAATCTCACTGGCAATGGTGAGTCATGCTCAGAGCCACAGAAACACTTATAACATGTGGAGGGGGCGACTAAAGCGGCATCCTAAAATCTTTCCTCACAGGCTTTGACGGGTTGCTCGGTCAATGTGGAAACACTCGATGGCAGACTACTCAACATTCCCATTAATGACATTGTGCAGTAAGTGTTTTCCTATTTGTTATGGACATTTTCCCCACTTTTATTGAGCCCAGGCACAAAATTTATATATGTGCATTCATACATCGCTAAAAGTGTGTACTGTATACGAGTGATAGTCTCATCTCAATTTACTCATAAATTTACTTGGTGAGAAGTCCGAACGGGTTCAAGAAAATACAAAGCAATCGTTTTGGGCTATGAATGGCAAGAGGTGGACATACATGTAAAACTTCTGCCACCTAGTGGAAGAATATTTAATCGTTCCGTCTGTCGCTGTACATCACTGCCAATGTTGCTAAAGTTACCTTGAAAAAGTAACTTCGCCCCACACGTTACTTTATTAGTTGCATTCAGCACAGCAACGTCTCTTAACATGTTATTTGGCAGATACAAATTCAAAATGGTGACTGCATTTCCAGTTTGAAAACGCTAATCTCTCTTTCATCCACTGGTATTCTTGTGTGGTCTCAACGTGACATGGCGCATATGTGATGTCACAGGAATGCGACTTGTCAACTCCCACAGTGCTTCACTTCAATTAGCAAATATTTTTCTTCCCCTTTCTGATGTGTTCTACAATGTACAGTTGTTTGCTGGAATGAAATACATAAAGCGCTGATCTTCACGGATTTGCGTACCACCAGAAACAAGCCGACGGTTTTATGTATCTGTATCTCATTTCTTCTCTCTTAATTTGTGTATCACTACACTGCAGCTTCACATACCAAAAAGTGGTGACTGGGGAGGGGATGCCGCTCTCCCAGAATCCTTCCCAGAGAGGAAACCTCATCCTCATTTTTGGCATCCAGTTTCCAGAGAGGCTCTCCCCGGACAGGAAAGATCTTATCAAACAAGCTCTACTTTTTAAAAATTGATCACAATCTGTCTTCTTTATTCGTCATCAAGAAGAGAAATGGAATTCCATTATGCTTGGTCATAATGACAAACTGCTGAGTCATGCTAAACACACTGCTTTTAACCAAACATGTAGCTTAAGTTTGTCTATGGCACATTCTCTCGGGCAATTTTTCACAGCCCACAATAACCACAATAATGCACCTATTGTAGTAGTATATTTGAGCGTAGATGTTTGTATAGCTCTTGCATCGTGTTTCATTGGGTTGTGCTGGTGTACCTAATGTTGTGGCTGGAGCCTGGTCTGTCTGCACACACCTCCCAGCACGTAAACGAGGGTGTTACAAATGTATCGTCCGTTGTTAGGATAGTTAGCAGTTCACCATATGACAACTGTTGGCAATTGGAAACCAGTTTAGCCAGAAAAACCAAACCAGTATGATTTTTTTTTCTTGATGCTCGCAAACTAGTTCATCTTTTTTCATAACCCAGTAAGCTGTCGATTACACGCCCCAGTCACAACATCAGGTTCACCTCTACAATCTAATGAGATCCAATACAGTAGCCAAAATATTAGAATCACCTCTCGCAAGTTCCCGTTTACCTAATTTCCTGGCCAGTGAGTGTTAATCCAATAAAGTTGACTGACTCCCCATTTTACCTTCAAGTAAGAAATATGTTCGGTGACTTGATAGACAATGGCAATGTAAATCATATACTTTAATAACAATTGTTTGCAAAAATGATGCTTTATTGTATCTTCTTAACACTTTCGTAACATGTTTAGAATTTATTGACCAGCAACAAATCAATGTATTCCAGTGCATATCCTATCATTAAACCCGACCACATGGCTCACAAGCAGGAACTGTAACACTCCAAAAACAAACCAATCATATTTTTATCATATGGCTCAGTCTACTTGTTGTGTGTGGTCTCAAGAAAGAAATACCGTACAAACGTAAGCAACACTTCCATATGATCTGCTCATTTGTTTTTGTAAACATAAACATCCTGTTTTCAAGCAGACACCAAATTTGGATCTGCATATTTGGGCCCTTAACTCAATTGCAAAAGGGGGCTTGCAACAATTCCCCCAGCAGGAATTTGTGGATCTCTGATCTACCTGAGCTGTGACCACAGGGCCCCGGGCCCCACCCCAAAAAACGATTTCTCTTTGTACTCGGTGGCAACTAACCACTCGTCATCCCTGTGCACTTGCATGAAGCTTTGGTCTGTGTGTTGATTCTTGCTAGATGAGGCTTCAAAAAGGTGACTCCCAGTACTGCGTCACGCCACGTTTGATTTGTTCATAGGTGACAAACATGACAATGTTCCAAGAACCCAGGCGCAGGAAAGAAGGCATAAACCTGACGGAAAACAAAATCCACTATTAAGACACAAGAGCTTGTTACCGATGGCTGCTATGCAACAATATGAATATCACACAGGCGTCTATTTACCCTTTATAGAAGGCGGTGGGTCCTTCATTCTTCATCATGGTGAGAGCACAGTTGACGGCGCTGCTGTAGTGGTTGGCACTGGAATTCATGAAGCGCGTTTTAACGACGTCCACAGGCGACGCCACAACCGTGGTACAGAAGCCTGCGCCGAAGGCAGCGGTGAAATGGCACGGCAGGTTGTCTGTAAGGGACCAAAAGTAATTAGCCTTCATCAAATATGGATGGAACTCAACTCGTACTTTCAAAGCACTGAACGCAAAGTCAACTTGTTTTGTTTCCAAACCTTAAAATGTAATTTCCAGAAACATCTGTTAAAATAACAAACTAAAATTGGGCATATTGGTCCAGTTAACACCACCCAATTTGAACATCATTTATGTTGTGTTATGATGATATGACCTCATAATGAAATATAATGACAGTGGGCTGGGCTGTGTACTGTCCATTTATATGGTGCTTTAAAAATGATCATTCTTGGGGGGATAATGTCTGCCCATGTCTGATTTGATCTCAATGGATCTTGAATGGATGTTCTTACTCTGTCTAAACATTTTCACGACCTCTGTAATGTGGACATTGATCATTATTATGGAGATGCTTCTCAATAAATTACAGAAGAAGATAATGGAAAACAGTCATGCATTTTTTTTTTTTTTTTTTTAGCTAGATCCAGTAGTTAAAGCAAACTCATGTCATCTGCACTACACTCCCCATCAGAGGTTTGGACACAGTTACATCTGGTTTCGGAACTGCGTGGTCCAATCTGGCTCCCGACAAGCACTGATGAGAAATTTTGGGCCCCCTCCGGCATTTTAATTTCCCCATCCTTGGTCTATGTTGCACAGTACTGTTTGAGGCCTTTTCTCATTCAACCAAGGTTGTAATTGCAATGTGTCTCACCTGCCATTAAGTTATACTTCAGGATGACCTCCTTTATGATGTCATAGGTCACCAGCTCTGCGCAGTTGACAATGGCGTTACGGGTGATGTTGGGCGTGCACCCTGCAAGTATACAAAAGGATGGTTATTCAGAAGCAGGATGTGTTAACCGAGATGTGATACAAGCCGTATATTACCTTTCCAAAGCCCTCGTACTCCCTCGTCCCGGGCGATGGTCTTGTAAGCATCCAGAGTACCGTTGTATCTCCTCCCACCGTCAGCCAGGCGCGCCTGGGCTTGAAAGCGCACCTTCACCACGTCGGTTGGTTGTGCCAAAGCCACAGCCATGGCGCCTGTGGTGCAGCCCGCCATGAGCCTCGTGACGATCCCCGAACCTTTACACGTGCGCTTGTTACTATCAGGGCGCCTTCATTAAATGACAAAATCCTTCCGGGGTCGGGAGACTCACTTTCGGTGCCTCGAGTGTAGAATTGTTTCATGGAGTCATAAAGACCGATTCGTACGGAGGCGAAGCTCATCTGCCTCTGCAGTCCTGCGACCAGTCCGTTGTAAAGACTCATGGGTCCCTCGGTGCGCACCATTGTGCTAATGGTGCCAAAAACCCCATGATACTTTCTTGCATTGGCACCCTCAGCTTTGCGAATCTCGCCCTGAACCTAAATAAAAAATTTTAGATTTAGAGACACACTGACAGCACATGAGTTAGTGGCTAGCTAGTCTGCCTCGCAGTTCTGAGGTTCGGGTTTCAAATCTTGATTGCAGCTTTTATGCGTTTGTATGTCACGAAAAGAGGTCAGTTGCAGAGGTCAGTTGCCATCTAATGCAAAATAATTGTTCCGCTTTTGCATGTCATGTCAAAGTGTTTGCGCAAACAACTCCAATTTCATTACATAATCAAACTTCATATATCAGTTCATGGTTCATTTGCCTTTATTTTAGCGTTAGCCTAACCTGTAAGACCAAAACATTTATATCTATAATAAATCTGATATTGTTTATTGTAATGCAGATTAATTTATTGGTTGTGTTGATTTTTTTTAAAAAAGTACATGGCAAGAGAACCCTCAAAAATATAATAAATTAAATTGCAATCGCAACATGAAATGGGAAAAAAAGGCTGAAATTAGATTATTGTCCAAAATGGTCACGCCATCAAGTGAAATTGAATAAGCTGACATTCTCTTAACGGCACACTGGTTGGGAATCATCCATCGACATCATCGCACCTGCAGTCTCACTTTGGCCGTGTCTAATGGAAAGGTGACCAGGTCAGCAATGCAGGCTGCAGTGCCAGCACCAAAGAACTTGACTGTCGCCGAGGGCGCCACCTCACTGCCTTTCATGATGGCCACTTTTCCACCTGAGTCGGCGACACACATGGCATCAACCAATGCTCTTATTTGAACTGCACATGCCTGAGCATGAGCGCGGCCCAACTTGACCTGCAGATATAACACGTCATTAATCAAGTTGCACAACACCCGTTGTGATGATGAGAGGGAACCATATTTGGTAGCCAAAGCGATGTGCGTCACAGCGCGTGTCATTTGTGGGATCATGTGATTTCTCCCAGCCAATCAGTGAATATAAAATTATGTGACCGATAATGAAGTTAAATAACATACGGGTGGATAAAAAAGTGTGCTACTGGTAGATCTGTTTTGTGAATGTGACGATAATGACAAATACATTTGGTTTTGCAATGTACCGAATCAACATTTTTGATTGAGTTTTTTAGCTTTTCAGAAAAAAAGTACCTTTCTGGTTTTTGCAGGCTTATGAAACAACTCAATGAAAAGAAGAAAGAAGAATCTCTCACCTGGGCATAAACTCCATCAGTGATGATCATTATACTGTTTCAAGTTCCAAGGATGTACATAAAAACTTGAATTAAACTAATCTTTTTTTTTTCTTTTTTTTTTTTACTTGAAGCATGAAAGATCCATGATAGTGAAACACATTCACCGCCACTGACGGCTATAGAAGTGAAAAGGTCCAATGGTTTACCATTGGCTGGCCTATATTGATGCTATACATATCTGACCTCTGGCTGAGAGCACAACAGTCATGCAAATATTTTTTTTAACATTTGAGTCAGGTTTGTCATCCATCCAAAATGCATTGTAACATTACCTTTGTATTCCGGAAGCAGCAAAGTGAATAAATAATCCTTTGAGGTGATCACTATGCTGTCCTCATCCCTTGCTTGCGTGCTTGCTGTTTGTCCCACCGCCAATCTGCTGAATTTATAGATACCTTTTTGCACATGACCCCCCCCCCCCCAGGCTGCGTGACAAGTTGAACCCACCTGTTATGCGAGTCTCATGTTTACCGCGGTGGGAGCGAGACACAGGCGGGATACTCGAGCTCTTGTTGATCTTCACTTTGCAGCGTCACTGGTCCGTGGACTCTGCAAACATTGAAGTGATTGAGAGTCCTTTCAAAGCCATTTCAAATGACTTTGCCGCTTGATCTATTATGCAATCCTTGCACGTGCTTTATGTTCAGTGTATGTTCATCAAAGAGTTCATTTATCATGCCGTCCTTTGTTCATCTATTGGCTCCCATTTGCAGCCAATGAGAAAGACTCCCTAATGGAATTGCTTGGGTGCTTTGGAGGGTCCCACAGGAGGGCTGTGCTGGATTCCAAAAGTACTCACGCTACTTGAGTAGAAGTACAGATATTTGTGGAAAATACATTTGAGTGAAAGTATTGACTTAATTCCTGTAAAAAGTAAAAAGTAAGAATTCAATTCGGCAATGTACTTAGGTATCCATCCATCCATCCATTTTCTGAACCGCTTCATCCTCACAATGGTCGCTGGGGTTGCTGAAGCCGATCCCAGCTGTCTTCGGGCAGTAGGCGGGGGACACCCTGAACCGGTTGCCAGACAATCGCAGGGCATGTACTTGGGTATAACCGTAAAAAATTATTTTGAATAAAACACTCTACAATACCTTCTGTGATAACTTGACACAGTGGAACTTCTCTGCACACAATAAATAGTTTACCGAACTTGTAAATTGCTCTTTCGCTGAGAAGATAAGAGAATCTTCATATTATAGCTGCATTTTTGTTCTTTAAGAGCAATTTAGTGTTGTTTAGTGTTGGCATGTCCCCGCAGCCTTGCTAACGCTGTGAACAAAGTAATAATAATAATAATTTTTAAAAAATCAGCTTTAACTTTTTTTATTTTCTGTTGTCTTCCTCAAAGGTTGAAAAAGGTAACCGTGCTTGCTTTGACAAAGAGGTTGGAGGTACTGTGACCTCTTTTGAAATGTAGGGAGTAAAAAAAAAGTATGGATGCATGCCCAAGGTCACCGTAAATGACTTGTTTTTCCCATCAGACAAGGCTATGATCTTATTTATAAAACTCCTTAGCCTTAAACTGCCACAAGATGGTGCCCTAGAATTGTTTTTATATTAGACATGGTTTTGGCCGAAGAAGCAAAACAGTGAATAGGTGAATCTACACAGGGTACTGGCTGCAAACACCCAAAAGTAAGGA